CCTTCAGTCCCTGAGGATTTATTCTGTCTTTATACTGTGAATAGAACGTCCCTTCTAGGGAGGAAAGCTTTCTTGTGAAAAGTTAAGCTTGCAGTTTCGTTGTTAAAGAAAACTTGAAAATAGCCAAGAATAGCCTGTTAGTGTTAGTCCCCATTTCAAATACTTTTGCTTCAAATGATAAAGCAACCTCTGCCTCCTATTTTAAAAAATAATATGAGCATTAGACAAGATTTACATTATTCCATTGTTCTAAAAAGTTGTTACTTCACTCTTTCATGAGCATGGTTTGAATCAAGAATTAGAGTTCTTAATTTAGATCTGTATTCAAACAGAAGTCAGTCGGACCACTTAACTTTAAAGTTAAATGTATGCTTATATATTTGACTTGAGTTGTGCCAAAAAATTGGTACTGACTTTAAGTGATACTTGTCTTCAAAACGGTTTGCTTACCACTGTTAGAAATAGAAACTCTAGTAACTATAATTGAAGAGGGTTTAAGGAAAAACAGCCATTGTTTTTGTCAATCTACTTTTTTAGTTAGTCTGAAAACATTTATTTTACAGTCAGTTCACTGTTTCCCTCTAATGAGGCCTTGTACAGTTTATTTAAATCTTTCCATGGCCAGAAAGGTGACAAAACAACTTAGAACATGATTATGAAACAGGAAGTACTGGAAAGAAAATGGGCAGGCAAGTATAATATCCAAGTGACTTTGACTTTCAAACTCATTTGTTAAAACTGAATAGTTTTCAAGTTGTTGCTAATGCTTTAAATGATTTCTATGCCTAAATTATGTCAAGATGCAGGAGAGAAATTTGAAGACACCTAGTGGTTATTTTAAGGAAAGCAATTAAGAAAATAGTTATGAAGCTTGGCTTGAAATACTGTTGATTTAACACTAGCAGCATTAGGCCACAGAAGTTCAGATACCTGAAAGCTGGCATTCTCTAATAGGCAAGTTTGGGTTGAATCCCTGTTATGAAGTGTGTTATCAGTAGCTGCTGGTTTGAATGAAAAATTACCAAAACAGCTCACACAACTACTGAAACATTGTATATATGAAAGATTTATAAGCCACAGAGAAAACAGGGAATTATTTGTTGTTTTACTGAAAGTCACTCAGTGCTCTTATGGTACAGTAATAATTATGCATTCTTTGTGCAAAATAACTAAGATGCAGTATACTATCATTGTTGCATCTCAATATTGCTTTTGTGCTCTGTTTTTGCTCATTTTGTCTAAAGATACCAAGTACTTGCTGAATGGTCACATCAGTATAGTCTTACATATGTAGCATGGTTACGTGTGAGCAAGACAATTATAATCTGGCTGTTACTCTTTAAACATCTTCACTGGGTTTTGGGTTTTTTTGAAATGTATGCTATTTTGAAGGTGAGCATAATGAAGCAAAGCTGAATACAATAAATTATTTAATAATCCCAGTGTATGAATTGTAGTAATTAGTGTTAGGTCAGCACAGTTTCATAGATACAGCACAGGAAATAAAGGAAGTTTCTCTTCAGGTCTTAGACCTGAGGTTGTCTTCAGGTCTACTTGGGCCCTTCTGCAGGACCTGGCTAAAGCCATATTACTTCTTTGTGTCTGTGTTTTCTCACCCAGTGATTTTCTATTTCTGTTGCCTATTCCTACAGATAACCTCTTGCTTTAGGGACAGGTCTACTTTCTGTACACTGTTTAACAAATCAGGGCAAAAGATTCTTAATTCTTCTGAAGTTCCTGAGATCTCATGTAATGCAGAAAATGTGTGCTTATATACAAGTGATTATAGAGGGGATGATCACACAATCATTTTTTTTCTTCAAATATTTTACCTGCCATTGTATTTTATCCCCTTATCATCCTTATCTCTTCAAAATTCTCCAGTTTTGTCATCTGCTGATGAGGTCACCAGCCAAATTCAGCAGTCATTATTGTCATGCTCCTTTGAAATTGTGTTTTATAGAGGAAAGACTGTATTTGGCTGATAGAAGTGACTAAAAATGGATACTTCATATTCAACTATTCCTGTTTATGAACTCTGGGATAAATTACAGCTTTCTCAAGTAGAGTCTCATACTGCAGTAAAGGATGCGTGCAGCTCACAAGCAATGGATGCTGATGCCTGTAACTCCTCAGCACATAGTGATTGCTATGCTGGGATGGAGACATTGCATTGGTTTAACTATCTGTGTAGATCACATCTGTATCTGCTCCTGTTTAACACACTCCTGCAACGTCTACATTTACTTCTACAGCAAGGGTCTTCTCCTTACAATCAGCTCTTGATGCTTACTGAAGACTGTTCATTTGAATAGTCACAGGCATTTGTTTCTTCCTTTTCAAAATGACATTTTAATCATATGTAGCACTTGTTACTAATTTCCCAGTAACCTCATCTGTAGTTCAGAATGTGCCTAATACCGGATATCCGTTGAGCTAATACTGTGCTGAGAAAGTAGTTGTGTTAGTAATAATACTCTTCTTGTCATACATTGTTAATTAGGATTGAGTGTCAACAAGCAAATTTATGCCAAGACTTTGTCTGATGGATTTGAAATAGTTAGAATACATCAGTTAATGTGAAATGCTAGTTCTTCCATCAGTGTGTGTAACTGTGAGTAAAAGGAGCTAAATAGTTTCCTTGTTAGAAGAGGCATTCAGTAAAGGTCAATGAAGGCTGTTCTTATTCCAGCTGAATTTGAACGGCTTTCCTGTTGCCCAAATAAAAATGCCTAAATGGTTGGAAGTTGAAAACTATGCTTTAAACAGTAGTTAAGGATTTGTTGTTGTTAACCTACAGCGCTTTTTGAGAATCGCACACTATGTTGGCAAGTTATTGGACCATCATCAAAGACGCATTAAAGGGAACAGGAATATGTTACTCATAATTATGCAGCTCCACATATAGTTCTGTTCAGTGTCGAAGTGCCTCATAAATAGTGCAGATACCTAAGAAGCAGTCAGTTCTTATTAAAGAAATGTAATTACTTTCATGTGAAAGATTTTACAGTATCCCTTAATAACCACAAGACGAGAAAGAAATGCTTATTTTACATAGTAAAAAGGCAAGAAGGTAAAAACTAAATTATCCACAGTTTGAGAACTGGTATTAGAATTCAGAGTACGTTGTTCTTCCTGATTGCTATTACTACACCATTAAGGCCAGGGGACAATCATTACACAACATTCCAGAATAAATACAATGCCACGTTTTAACTGATAAACCAAATTTCTGCTTTAGCTTTTACTTTGTTCACACAGGGCACCTGATTCTTTCTCCGCCTTCTATCAACACATTCACGTATGTAAATTCAGTGTAAAACAGAGCTAGGTGAAATGACAGCATCTAATATTCTCCTTTCCTCAAGTGTAAGTGAACAGTGAATGGCATTGCTCTACAAAGTGCTGTCACTCAGCAATAGCACAGGTTCACGTCTGGGCATTTTCAAACATGCCTAGACAAAGTACATGGGTTCCTATGCCTAACACTTGCTAGTTTAAGAACGCTCTTCATCTGATTCCAGGTTATTACTGTTACTTTTAAATCCTCCTTTCCATTAATGCCTGTCCTCGATGTTCAAAAATCAAGTCAGCACACACAACCATGAAACTGAGTCAAGTCACAAGCCTTCTTTTAAAACTATCGATTATTCTATATCTACCTTCTTTGCCTGAGGCTTTCAATGCACCCAGCTTGCATTTTGAAGTTCTTTTCTGTAGCCTTACTGTTAAATGCTACATTTTGTTTAGAAAAAGCTAACATTTCCACATAATTTTTTTCTTGAAGAGATTAGAGTAAACCAAAAAGAATCTAAATGAAACATAACATATATGATAACAAGACTTTAGAGGTTGTACTGTTTACTTACAAATTTTTGCATTTTAAGTTTTTTTTTGTTTTCTTAAGGATACTTCTGGTCACTTTCATCACAAATTTTTATTCCGTTTTCTCATTCAGTTTAATGAATTGAAAGTTCCAATTGTTATCAAATGCTAGCTTCTTATTTTGACTCTCATTGAAGCAGCTTTTGCGAATGTGATATTGCAAATGTGAAAAGGCAAATTGTACTATGCATTTTGGTAATACATGGTCACAGCATCCATATTTAATATTTATGCTATTTAAGTACAATAAAGTAATCTTGTTAAAGTCAAAGTTCTAATAATAAATGTTCTTTATGCTTCTCTGAAAGAAACATTTGGATGAGATAGCTCCACAGAAAACTCCCAAACCTACTGCTGCTATAATAAAGAAGGATCACTAGTAGTCTTTATTAAAATACGTAACAAGCAGAACTTACTTCCTTTCAAAATAAGTAGCTAAGCAATGAACCAAAACTCTTTCAGAATAACAATGGAATTTCATTGTGTTCTCTGGCATTATGTTTCCAGTAATCGGACTAGCTCTCGATTGCTGGGAAATTTATAATAGATGTTGATTGAGGTATATTATTGCTACAGCCAGCACTGTTCCCACAGCTTCATGGAAAATATAAAAACATGGAATGAAATTCTAGCTCTGTGGAACTCAAGAGGCAAAACTCCCACTGCCTTAATTGTGTCCAACTTTTCATTCAGTGGTTTTGGACTCTCATTGTCAGAAAATTCACAAATGTCCTGTGTGACCACATTGACCATTCACCCTTGAAGAATGAGTAGAGTAACAAAATTACTTTCTTTTGCCCAGGTGCTCCCTTTACACTCAATTTCCTACATCAATTCTATTTTTCATAGCACGTGTGCCTAAAGTTGAGGTCTCCAAATGATATGTGATTGCAAAATCTGAAAAACTCTAAAACTTTCCTAACAGAAGGCAAATAATGTGGATTGCTTGCTAATAAAAATAATAATGATGGACTTTAGATTATAATCGATTACTTTACTTTGAATTAATGGTTAATTACACTTGCAGTATTGGCCAAAAAAGGCCACATAGAGTGCTTTTAGTATTTAACATATACTGATGCATGTAACCGATCAGCGGCTGACTAACCTGACTAATTTCCATGGTTTCATTCAGCTTCACTCTCGAAATTCCTGTGGTCTGCTGAGCAAATAAAAAATATCCCAAATTTAAAACATGACCACCATGAAAGGTTTCCAAAAGATCAGACTTTTTAATAGGATTTTTGCTGTTCATAGGGCTATACATTATGTAATTTGGAAAAAAAAAACCCCAACATTTCTTCTGAGAGTAGCTCATATGCTGTGAGGAATCCTCAACACTGAGTAAATGAAATAAAAAGCCCTGTGTTTAAAAAAAAAAAAAGCCTAATAGATTTTGGACAAGAAAATATTATAGTGATAAGTAAAAGTATACTCATGTTATTGATAATGTGTGCTTATGGATTATTCAATTATTACGGTTGGCGTTCTAGCACCAAGTTAATTTGAGAAACACAGTTAAATATTAGAGATGCATAACATTTTTAAATTAATGGTAAACTTTTCAAAAATGTAAGCAAGAGTATTCAGTATTTTGGGTTAAGACAAGTTTCATCTGCACAGAAAGGAAATAGGTGAGATGCATGAAAACAGTCTGTCTTTTCATTACTTTGAATAGGCTTGAATTAAAAATATTCATGTTTCTTTCTGACAGTTTTTAAGCAAAGCCTTTGTGTTTTGAGTCAAACCAGCATTTTTCATTAGCTCTGACAGCACAGGAGCAGTTAACTTAAAAATAGTGTATAGGCGACATAAAAATAGGAGGAACTGCAGGTGACTTAACAGAGAGAATTAAAGTTCAAAATTTTAAAGTTTTTCTTTTTAAAAGTTAGAAATGGTCTAGGAAAACAGAAAGTTTTGTCTTTATATGCATATATATACATCTTATACTGAAATTCAAATCTTAGGAATGGGAAGGACTAGAACTTTTCAAATTACAGTATAAATTTCTGATCTTTTATATTGTGCATAAGCAATCTTCCTCTGCCCTATTCACGTATTTCCTTTAGGCAGAAATAGCTTCCTTTTTATGGGGCTTAAAACATTACTGCTTAATCTAGACTAAGTGCTGCATAAAATTGAAGAATATTGATACAGAGGAGCACTAAAGGTGCAATCACATCCACTGTATGAAAAGGTTTAAAGTTTTCTTTGTGGTGTCCTCTTCAAATATGTATTATTTCCTGATGATTTTTAACTTACATCATTCACTGTATTTTTATTTTACAGAGAAATGGTTAATGCATGGTTTGCTGAGAGAATTCACACCATCCCAGTCTGCAAGGAGGGAACCAAGTCCCACAGTGAATCCTGTGCTTGTCACCAGCCTGCCTGTGCTGAGACCACCAACTCTGGGACACCAGCAAGGAAAATCTCTGCTTCTGAATTTGACAGACCCTTAAGGCCTATTTTTGTCAAGGACTCAGTAGGAGCAGTGAGCTTTCTCTCTGACTCTGAAAAGAAGGAACAGATGCCTCTGCAATCTCCAAGGATTGAGACCAGTGCAGGGGATCAATGCTCAAGACTATTAGAACTTGTGAAAGATATTTCTAGTCACTTAGACGTCACAGCACTTTGCCATAAAATTTTCCTACATATCCATGAGCTCATAGCAGCTGATCGCTATTCCTTGTTCTTGGTCTGTGAGGATAGCTCTAATGAGAAGTTTCTTGTAAGCAGGCTCTTTGATGTGGCAGAAGGCTCCACCTTGGAAGAAGCTTCCAACAACTGCATTCGCCTGGAGTGGAACAAGGGCATTGTGGGTCACGTAGCAGCTATAGGCCAGCCTCTGAACATCAAGAATGCATATGAGGTAAACCAAGAAAATTTATCTTGAGCAATTCTTGAAAAAAGGAAAAGCCATAGTATCAGCTGTTACGATATTGCCATTTTACTATATGTATTTGGAGCTACATTGATTTAAACCAGTCAAGATGCAAACCTGTCTCCATGGTTTTGATACCTGAAAGGAGGTTGTAGAGAGGTGGGGGTCGGTCTCTTCTCCCAAATAACAAGCGATAGGATGAGAGGAAGTGGCCTTAAGTTGCACCAGGGGAGGTTTAGATTAGATATTAGGAAAAATTTTTACACAGAAAGGGTTATCAAGCATTGGAACAGGCTGCGGACGGGAGTGGTTAAGGCACCATCCCTGGAGGTATTTAAAAGACGGGTAGACGTAGCTCTTAACAATATGGTTTAATGATGGTTTTTGTCAGTATTACGTTGACGGTTGGACTCAATAATCTGAAAGGTCCCTTCCAACCTAGTAATTCTGTGATTCTGCAATATATTTATTACAGTTGCAGGCATATACAGAAACACGTAGCACAACTAATGCTAGAGAAATGCTAACATCAAAATAAATTATGCAAGTTTGATGTTAGCAGTCAGGTATCAGCCCCGCCTTAACCAGCGATGTGCACACCAGTATTTGCAAATGGACACTTAAATGTTTACATTTCTGCTGGTATAAGGATGTAAGATACTTCTGCACCAAAATGAATGAAATTGTGAGTATAATTGTCTGCAAAACTGGAGTCCTATGACTAAAAATATTTTGGAGAATTTTATTATACCCGAGGCACAAAGAGTCGGAGCTGAATGAACAAGAATGGGATAAGGCTTTGAACTGTATTGAGGTCTCCCAAATGAAATGATACTCTGTGATTTGAGTTATTTAATACAAGGCCAGATATAAAAAGGAAGAGAATCCAGCACTGGGAGAGTCATCTCATGTCAGCTTAACATCTCTTCAGTCTAGGCTCTCTGGATATGCTGATTTTGTGCTTTGAATTTAGGGATGATGGAAATTTTAATGAATTACTTGATTAATTAACTAATAAAGGCTGAAAATTATGGTTTCTGATTGATCATCTCTTGGTCAATCTGAGCACATTTATAGAATTAGGTAACAGTACTGAGTAGATTTTTTTCAGAAGCAAAAAAGAGTGGTTTCATTTTCAACAAACACTTGTTTGCTGCTTCAGAAACTGTCTAAACATTTGCTAGGTATGTTTTCAGTGGGACATCATCTATCCTTATAGTTTAAAAGTTCATTCTTGAATTGGGTCCATCATCCTCAATCAATTACTAGAGAAAGAACAGCAGCCTTTAAAAATAGTCTGATTCATTTTAGTAAGCTTTAAAAAAAATCAGAGTTTTATAACAATACTCGGCTGAAAAAATGAAACAAGCAATCTCTGGTAAAAGCAAAACCACAAACCACATTCATGAAACTATGTTCCTCTGAAGACATGTGTCTTTTAGTATATTTCTATAACTCCTTCTTGATTGTAAAAGCTATACTGGGGATGGTCAGTCCATTTATATATTTATTACAATGATGGTCTGGGCTCAAGAAGAGCTTCTGCTGGGGTTTGGGGGTTTTATGTTCTTTCTGGCAGTTGTATTTATCCACAGGCCCTCATGTTCCACATAAATGCTTTTTTGTTGTTTTAACACACTGATATTAACAACTTTATATAATTATTACTTGGTAATAGAACCCTTGTTATCCTAGGTAACAGTTAAGTCAAATATTGTAAGTTTCTTAACCTTTAAACCTGGGAAGAAGAAGAACTGATCTTTAGGCAAGTAGTTAAACAATTGTATATTTTTCTTGTATCAGGATCCAAGATTCAATGCAGAAGTTGACCAGATCACAGGGTATAAGACTCAGAGTATTCTCTGTATGCCGATAAAGAACCATAGGGAAGAGGTAAGTTGCGGTGTTGGGATCACTTCATGTAATATCGTTTCCAGCTATGCTAATGTTTTAAAATTCTATTAGCTAGCAGTCATTATCTTGCAGTATAAACCCACCTCTTTATAAAAAAGACTTCTGATGTTTGTTTGGACTTTAATTTTATCTTATCTAGTTCAGTAATGCAAGACAAATGGTATTGTCAAGAAGAGTTTAATCCCAGATGCAGAAGTAGAACATATGTATTTAACTCTAGAAGTGCTGTTCCTGCTTCCTGTACCAAGTATCTGTCAGCATTAAAGTTCTCTGCACACTAATTGGTCTATCTCAGTGGACACTCAGATTGCTGATTACAGAGTTATTGTACTGCAGCTTAGCTTGTATCTACATTTTTTTCTTCAGAGGACACAAATTGGGTTTTATCATTGTCTAAAAGGCTGGTTTTTACATTCCAGTAGCTCAGCTCATAAGTAATAAATTAAGATACATGTTAAGTGCTTAACATCAGGCATTAAAAAAACACATGGTGTCAATGTAATTCAGAAAAGTCATCCACAAGTCATAAAACTTAAATCACTCCTAATTTAAAACAATGTGAATCTGCTCATTGAACTCTTGTACATATTTGCTGTCCATGCTATTTCTCACAGTTCTCTCTTTCTGTCTGATGCTATTGCAGTAGGGAGAATTCTTATTATGGACTACGGATGTCTTCTTGTACTGAATATTGAAGAGTGAATTCAGTAGAGGCAATGAAAGCCAATGAATAGAAACAGTGAGGTCCATGGTTTTACTTAGGGAGTAAGTAAAGTAAGTTTGGTGGCTTTTTGATCCTAAATGTAGTAGCCTTCAGCCACATCACTGGCTCTTAGAATACTCACAAAGTGTAAGGCTCTCTATAGAGTGTGTCAGAGCTTTAAGATGCAGATTTTATCTCCTTTAATTTCTTTATTTTATTGAATACTTTTAGTTTGCTTCCAGAAATCTCTAACTCCAAAAAGAAATGCTTCAAGGATTGGTTTGAAGGCATCATACCTTCCTTTTCTTGTTCTTCCATCTTTTACTCCTCTTACGGAACATGTCACCTTGACTCTTACCGCACTGAACGTTTTTTTCATTAAATAAACTGATTAAACTCTTGATTTAACTTGTTTGTTGAATCTTACTCTAGCTGACCTAGATGAGGAGCCAGGATTTCCTTTCCTCAGCTACTGCTAATTTCAGTTTAAAACATTTTTTTCAGTTCTTCCAAGGACAGCACTTCATCCTCTCCTACTCCTACTTAAAAGTCTTCGCCTTTCTAACAGGCAGCAGCCACTGCTGGCCCTGGGCCAGCTGATGAGCAAAGCAGATGTTGTATGGAGAGCTGTCAGGGACCAGTGGTCCATGTCAGGCTG